TGTTAATAAGTAGTGTATGTTCTTATATGTGTACAGTTCAATAGGACTAATGATATCAATATGAATAAGATCTCCAAATTGATTTGTAAGAGGAGATTAATGTAGTTTTGGTATTGGAGTATGTTCAATATTTGCTTTTATACATTCAATACATTCTTTTTCTTCATAGTTCATTATTTTAGTTGATAGTACACTTGGTTGTGTTTTTAATAATCATTTAATATAATTGTAACTTATATGTCCAAGGTGTTTATGTATATCATAAATAGATAGTTTGTTCATTGTTTTTAACAAATGGTTATTGTACAAAATATACAAGTTATTTCTCAATTGTATATGTCTGACATATTTGTTACATGGTAATGTTATAGTACAATTATTGTTTGTAAACATAAAAGAATAGCCTTCCCTACATAGTAGCACTTGACTTATGAGGGAAAAGTTCATTTGTGGATAGTAATAGATGTTTTGTAATGTTATAATGCTTCTTTCTCATGTATTCTTCAGGATTTTGATATACATAGATCCAGCTTGATTAAGAGTCATTGTTGATCTATTTGTAATAGTTACAATTGTAGGAGTTATGTTGTGTACATCTGTTAATCGAAATAGATAAGGGGTAGCATGTATTAATACACTAGAATCAAGTAAATCCATTGTTTACATATAGGATTTCTCATTAGCTATGATTGTATTTGTAAATATGTTAGTACATACCTAGGAAGTGTATTGTTTGAATTGTTTGTCCTGGTTGCTCAGAATAAGGGTATAGGTGTTATCATTCATTTCAATGTTGCCTTCCTTTAATTCAACATTGTTTTTGTTTGGGTTTTCAATAATAAATGTGTTTGTTGTGTTTTCCACAGTTTGGTTCGTTTTATGTACAATGTTAGCTTAATGTTTAGTGTGGGCAAGCTTCATAGCTTTAGTAGGAGGTTTGCAGCATTCCTTAGAGAAATGTCCTGTTTTTCTACAATTGAAACATTTTGCTTTTGTCAGATTGAATGGATTTGGCAGATTGAACAGATTCAGCAGATTGAATTTCCTCTACTTATTTGCTTTATACATTGTATTAGTGTGTGTATTATTCTTTGTCTGATCATTAGAATCTTGTGCTTGTTTAGTATAGTAATTGTTGTAGGCATTCTACAATATAAGAATTAGTTACTTTAGTTCAACTTTCTTATGTTCATTGACTGGTTTGCCTTTGTTTTAGGCATCAGTAGATTGTATTATTGTATTTACTATGTGTGTATATTGTTCAGGGGTAGCAAGCAATATTGCTGCTTTATGTAGAGTCTCTTAGTGGATTACTGTTGACAGACAGGGTTGTATATACTTTCTCAAGTCTGTCTAATGTATGTCTGAAGTGTTTAACATGATCTCTACAGATGAACAGTGCTGATTTGTCAATAGCCTTTTTATATACTGTTTGAGGGTTGAAGCATTCTTCAAGCACCTTCATTAGCTGAGGGATAGACATATCAAAATGCATATAGTTTGCTAATATAGTATCAGTAATGTTATTAACTATGTATGTATGAATGGCCTTAGCTATCTCCCTCTTAGCTTCATTCTGTGGTTCATCCTTTAGTAAGTGTTTGAAGCACATAGCTGCAACACTAGAAACAATGCAGTAATGCCACATCTTGTAGTTTGCTTCAGTCTTAAGCATGGTGATGTTTTGACCAAAGTATTTGAGTATGTTGGCTGGTTTACAGTGTGTATCAGTGTGAGGGGGAACCATATTGCTAAGTTAATACAGGCAGGGAGTGCAAGGCTCATAACCTGTAAAGAGAGAAGGCATGCAAGAACAAGGGGTAAGGTGACAATTGACTGCTCAGTGTCTCTTGTCCTTATATTGTATATATTCTAACTGAGACATTATAAAGTCATTGTCTTGTGATAAACTCATCATCTTGTGATATATACACTATTGTAGAGACATGTCTTCTGAGACATACATCCAAGACATACAATATTAGATAGTATATATATTACTTCAATCTAAGGACAATAAAGCTCATTACAAACTATACAGTTAACTTGTATTAACACTTATACACTATGAGCAGAGCCTACTGAACCCCTACTTGTGTGACTAACTCTTAGGGAAACATTACAACCTCAAAACACTAACAATTATATATACTCTACTTAATGTGATTACAATCTATAGTATTTGTTTAATACTATAATTTTATTAAAGTATACCTTTGTTTACTTTCTACTAGAATTCTGAATACTCTACTAGTATATTGTGATTTCCCTAAGTTCTCCTAGTGTAGAACTACTATACTAAAAGAGACCTAAAAGGATTAGTCTACTAATGTTACAGTTACTAATACAAAAGTATTAAGATAAATAGTGACTTGTTAAAAATACTGATTATGTAAGAGAAACTGATTAGAATCTATTAGAAGTTTATATGAGTTAGTAGGAACATTATTCTGAACTTTAGTACTAAGTAGGTCAGCTCAGACAGGAAACTGTTAAACTGTATTTAATATGTTCTAAATAGGATAGTACAATATGTTCCCTACTACTATATACTCAAGGCCTGTTATATGTATGTATGTAAGTACATACTAGTAGTGTTACAATTGTTATAAGATGTTTTATAGTATCTCTGAATACTTAGAATAAGGAATAGTAGATACTACAGACTATAATAGAGCTGAGAAAATAATGTATTTGCTTATACAAGATAAGGACAATATAAAGGTTAGTATGTTCAGGACTTTGTATTTAGCTTATACAAGATAAGGACAATATAAAGGTTAGTATGTTCAGGACTTTGTATTTAGTATAGTATTCAGAAACAGAGATAAGTAAGATTTCTTACAGTCTTATAGTATTGTTCACATTAAAGACTCACATTATAGAATCAATATTCTAGACTAAAACAAGACTATATTTACAAAATATTCTTGAGTTGACCAAGGCCTATCATTAGTATACAAGTTCAGACAGTACTCTATACTTATACAATTATAGGTAGTCCTGTCTCTACATCTTGTAACACTTATTTGTTTTATATGATTAATTGTAAAGATTATAGTATAATATGTATTATAAAGATATTGAATTGTATAAAGGGGGGAAAGAATAGTAAGTAATTATTTACTTTTAACAATAGGATATTGTTTCCTCTATTTGAATCTATACCAAGTCTTCTTATAATCCTCAGACTTGTAGATCTTACAATAATATATTATTTAAAGTTGTTATGTTACTATAATGTTGTTTAACAAGTATACTACAGAAAGTGAGTTTTCTCCATGATAATGTTCTACAAAATAACAACACTTCAACTTCTCTAGGAAGGCTAGCTTGCAGAATGTGAGGAAGACTTACATGGAAACAAATAAAATTGGGATACACTAGAACATGATGTACTAAGAATTGATACTGATTATCTTGATACATTGAGTTGCATCTGCCCAGCTTCTTATTTCAAACATGGATGGGTTGTTTCATGCTACTAAGTAACATAATGTATGAACAAAGGGAAGCAAGGTACATGATGTCAATAGAGAAAGACAAAAACTAGTACTATACCTAGGACCAATAATCAGGTATAAAAGAAGCACCATTCAGCAACTTGGAAGGACCAGACAACAAGCACTCAAGCAACAAACAATAATAAGTCAAGTAGTCAATACATCTTAAGGAGACAAGAACAAATGGTATCCAAATCACCAGCTATCAGAACTATGTTGTTTGAAACTGGCATGGGTTTGTGTGATTAGTAGTCCATGTTTGCTTCTATACATTGTTACTGAGAGTGGGTCTCTACTTATTTAGTTGTCAAACAGTACAGATGCACAGTACACATTAATGAAGAGACAGAATTCATTGGCAGAGCACCTTCCAAGTACATTCTCCATAAGTTGACCAATTGACAATCCAGATATATTATCATATCCATAACCTTTCTTTCCACAGGTGTAAAGGACATCAACAGTAAAGAGTTGAAGAAGGTAGAAATCAAAGCTGATCAACATAGCAAGCTCCTGACAGATGCAAGAGACAAGTTGGATCCTCTTGGCAGCTGGACAAACACTAAGGCTGTAAAGGATGCTAAGAAGAAGGCTGACCAGAAGAAATAAGAGGATGCTTTGGCAGGTTACTATCAGCTCTCCAGTTGAGTAGTAGCTTGTCAAGACAAAATGTTAAGATGATAATAATAGAGAATAGAGAATAAAAAAGTCTTGAAAATCTTACATGTTATTCACAATATTCTTTTGCCACAAGGTTTTATGGTACTTCTCTACTCGAAATAGGAGAAAGTATCATTGTCTTATAATATCATTTATTAATGCCACCATATACACTGATGGTATCACAAAATTGTTACATTATTCCTAGAATACTCTAATCTAAAAACAATTATTGCTCAATTACTGTGAAGATACTTATTTTTAAATGAACTAGTTTTACACCAATTCAGGGGAAGTGTCTGTTGTTGAGACAGGACTAAATAATAGCTTGAGTAACTCAAATTAACAAAATTATACTTTCTCACTGTCAAACCTCATCCCACTTAGTTACTTATCACCACCAAGCACCAGAGATCAGTCACTACACTCCTTTGTAAATTAAACTAATCTAAACTAAACTAAAGCTTACCACCCACATGCTCAACCAAACGTACTGACACGACCTACTAAGGTAGTAGATACTATACTCCCCAAAATCAACCATACCCTAACTCAACTACTTGTACTCACAGCCACAAAGGCAATATTAACATCAACTATCAACTATCAACTATCAACTATCAACTATCAACTATCAACTATCAACCGAACAAAAAGAAACACAAATGAAGGTAAGTAAATACGTCGAAAGACAAAGGAGAGGGAAAAAGAAGAGATAAAGGATAAACATATGTAATAATAAGATCTCAATTTCTCAACTCGAAACTCAAATATTCGAAAGTCAACCTTGAAAAAGTGGAAGAAAGAAAACGAAAGTAAAAGGGAAAAAAGGGGGGAAAAAATAAGGGGGAAAGGCGAATGTTCAACAGGAGCCCGAGGATGTCTGGAACAGATGAACGGGAGCAAAGGCAGAATGAAGATGACGCGATGAAGTGGCCAGAGGAAGCAAGGACACAATGGACAGAGAAATTAGAAGAGGGGAATTTTGCCGTTCTCCTTCCCCTACACTAATCCTACGTGTCCCTCCCTCTTTTTGCACCTATTCTCCTCATCCCCCATCCGCCAGGTAAGCAGGCATTTATTAACGGATGAATATCGATGTGCAGGGAGGTACGGCGTGGGCGATTCGAAAGATGCCTGATACGCAATAACGCATATACGATAAATAGCACAGCACGGAATCGAGTCGATTCGAGACCAGTAAAGTTGGACGGAGAGGAGGAAAGATAGGTAGGAAACAACGCCTGAGCTGAGATAACAATTTCGTTCCGTTCTGCTTCTTCGTCGTTCTGTTCGTCACGTTGAGTGTTTTAAGTCTGCTCTGAGTCTGGGGTACATCTCTCGATCTTCATCATCATCTCCAACTCGGCCTCCATCTCCATGTAATCGCGTCAAATTTTTGAATGATGAGGTAGGTAGGTAGGTAGGTGGGGACGTTACATGGGATTGGATAATCGGTTATCGAATTATCGAACATCGAAATATCGAAATATCGTTCGTGGCTAAGTCAAGTCAAGTCGCAGGAGAGGCAGGTGAGATGAGATGAGACAGCCAAAGCCAGATAGAGACAGAGAAGGAGAGCGAGGGGAAGAGGGAAGAGGGAGCGCCATATTACGAATATAACTAAAGAACAAGAGAACGAAGAGATCACGGGATCAGGAGATCACGAAACGACGAAAAACGAGACGAAACAGGAGGAGATAGGAGGAGATATAGGAGACGGAGCCAGAACTGAGGAAGGGGAGGCAGAGGCAGAGAGAGGCATGGGGTATTTCGAACAGCACAGGACAGGACATACATATTACAGGCGAACTAAACCGCACCACGTCAACATTCGCCAAACCAAAAATCCAAATAAACAACACGAATTAAAGCACCTCATTCCGATTCGCGGTGGAGAAGCGCACTTAATTCACGGCGACGATGTCGTCCTTCACCAACATCTCTGCATTCCCCACCGCTAAATCTGCATCCGCATACCCTGCATCCTGAACGTCCAGCTCAAACTCCGCTGCATTGGAATCCGGAAGTGGCGAAGCGACGCTAGCCGCTGTGTTCCCACTCGCTGAGCGTCTCATACCTCCCGAACCGCCCTGTGGGCCCGAACGCGGTGGGTTCGCGCACCGGTCCTTCCCATGAGCAATACGCAAGTTTGTGTAATCGGGCTTGCTCTTGATCCCGTCGATCGCCTTGATCGCGTTCGAAATGTTCGTAAAGTTGACAAACGCGCAGTTCCTATCAAAGATTCCTCAATCATTAGTGTCTGTTCCCGAGAAAAAATGAGATGAAAAGAGACGTACTTCTCCTTGAGGAAGTTGACGAGTTCGATATCACCAAACTCGCCAAAGTCTCTCTTCAACTTCTCATCGTTGAACTTATCGAAGTCCTCGATGTTTCCGATGTACACGTTACGTGTCGCACCCGAGTGAACAGCAAGTGCAAGTGAGGGTGCAAGAGGACCCGAATTCTTGCCCCAACCGACCTTGAGACGTCGGTTATTGAGAGTGAGGCCTTGATACGATGCGACCTGGTAGAAGGTAAAGGCCGCAGTAGGGTCGATGAAGGTGACGAACTGTTGTAATGCGTATGCTTATTAGCACGTGATCTAAAAATAGGCAGGAAAAAAACTTTACTCACGGCGATATGCTTATCCTGCATATACCTAATACTCTGCAGAACACCTCCCCGAATGGAGTTGCACAGATCCTCCGTAGTCGTCTCAGGATGGATGTTCCCAAGATACACCGTGCGGTTAAGGCTCGCTGCACCCAGCGCATTAGCACCTTCAGGCGAGAACGGTGCATATGGTGAGAACGGAGAAGTCTGCAATGGTGACAGTTGCGCTGCAGACTGTGCAACAAGGGACTGTGCAGCAGCGGCTTGGGCTGCCTGTGCTGCTGCCTGCTGCGACTTTGGTATGTATGCACAGCGATCCTTGCCGTAGTTGATGCGCTTGCCCGCCCATACGGGCTCAGTAGGCAAAGTCGCAACGACCTAAAGAGGGGGAAAAAAAGGGGGAAATATAAAATCAAAACCGGTTCATAAGATAAAATCAAAGCGAAGAACCGAACCAACCTTAGTAGCCGTAGAAATGCTCAAGAAGTGAACAAATCCAATGTTCTTGTCGCGCACAATTTTGACTTGGTCGATAAGACCGAAACGACTGAGATCGTCACGAAGTTGCTCCTCAGTCATGTTTTCATCGAGTCCACCAATGTATACGTTCCGGCTCGCATTGCTCTGCTGAATGCTAAGAGCAACCTGGCTTGGTACAGGACTTGGCTTGCCCCAGCCTATCTTTAGTTCCTGACCGTGCAACGATAACTTCTTAACAGTCGCATCAGCGTGGAATGCTGCTGCCGTCGCACCGTCGAGGAAGCTCAAGAAGACACACGACTTCTCAGGAAGGACTCGGATGGACTCGAGCGGGCCGAAGTGGACGAGGTTGAGAAGCTCGTCGACGGATGCAGTTGACGGCAAGTTGCCGACATAGACTGTCCGTGCAGTCGCGTTGCCTGCAGAACCCAGAGCGGCGTTAAGCGCGACGGGAGAATATCCCGAGGTTGGGGTCATCGGCACGTTCAAGTTACCCATGCGCTGTTGACCGAAATTCTAGATACGCGTGAGTAAAACGTGTACGAAAATGAAAAGATAAGATCGTGATACTCACTTGTTGGAAAGATCCCATTTGAGGGCTGTATGGGAATCCATTAACACCAAGCATACCCATACCCATGCCCATACCAAGCATTCCGTTCATGCCATAATTCCCAAAGCCATTATTCTGAGACTGCATATTCGGGAATGGCGATGTAGCCGAGCTCGGGCTGATCTGCGAGGTCATACCAGAGCCATTCACACCAGTCGCGGTATTAACAGTGAGAGATGGGGTTGAGTACAATTGGCCGTTGCTGTTGCCAAGTCCCAGGCTGCCCGTGCCATACCCCGCGTTCTGCTGATTCTGCTGTTGCTGGGGCTGATTGATGGCAGCATGATTGCCGTAGCCGTAATTAGCGAACAAGTCGCGAGTAGAGTTCACGACGGGACTGTTGGAAAATGAGTTGGGTGACCATCGTGCTTTCTTGGTCTCTGGTCCTCCGGTCATTTCGAGCGGCCTCTGTAAAATACAATACGGTAAGTAAGAGAAATTTTCCGGCCCAATAAGACCAAAAAGGGAATTCAAAAAAGCATGATGCGAAGAATGAGGACAAGATGAATGAAAAAAGAAGAAAAAAAAACGAACCTTTGACATATCGAGATCAAACGAATAGCTCGGCGGGTACGCGAAAACTGTCTGAGCGTCGTCCATGGCCATAAGGTGTGTAAAAAGATTGGAATGGTTGTGGAGGACAGACAGAAAAGGCACACAACGGGCGACGGAAAAGTGTTCAGAGAATTAAAAAGCACGGAAAAGATCAGATATCAATATAGATATGAATAAGAAAGGAAGGAGCGGGGTGTGCGGAAGCACGGCAGGAGGAGGACAAACGAGTGTGAGGGGGTTTGTAAAGAGAGACACGCACAAACAACACAAGGAAAGTAGCGACTGAAGGTGGTGCGGTATCAATAGATAAAAATGGAGAGAGGCAGAACGCGAACAAAAGCCCAAATGACGTGCGTGCGCGCCAGCTGTGGACGGGGAGCGGCGGGGCGTGTGCGACGAGGGCAGCGGCGGCGAAGGCGAAAGCGGCGAAAAGAGCGGCCTGTGCGCGACGACGACGGCGACGACGAGGGCAGATGGACGTCCGGACGAAAAAGTTGGGCGTCCGCCATTCGCTGGCTCGTCCTATCCTATCTGGGCACATTTCAAACTCCGCCCGCTCTCGGCCATCGCCTCTCCCATCTCTTCCTTCCATAAGAACCTTCGCCGATACATTCCATCTGATGCATAATCAAAATAGAACAATATATATGTATATATATATGCACATGTGCTGTGTGGTACTATCGAAGCTACAGAGTTACAGACTACAACCCCGAGGCGCAGAACAGATCAAGTGAAATACGAGAAGAATAGCCAAACATATAACGTTGCAAATACCCGAAACAAACTCGGCCTCATTCTCTAACCATCAAATGGTGGAAGGGTGATAAACTTGCGAAGGCGATCCTGAAGCGTATAGCGGCTACCGTCAATAGCTTGTTCGTATGCGAGTAAAATAGCACGATAGCTAGCCGCTTGAAAGAAATAAGGTCTCTGCGCGACACACTGAGAAATAGAATACTCACCGGTTAACCTCCAGAATTGATGAGTGTTTTGTGGGAACTGCACGCCTTCAGGTAGCTCCAGCTGCTGAAAACCAGGAAGTGGTGGTGGAACCAGGTGTGGTTCTGCGTCAGCGGGGCCTCTCCAGTTGAATGCTCTCATGTTGTGTTGTCGTGCTTCACGCAGAAGAAGCCTGACACTTAATTAGTCATGGAAGACAGAAAGACAGAATAACCTACTCATAAAGTAGAATTTCGGCATCGCCGAGACCCGCGTTGTTAACCACGTTCATTAGTGCTCCTTGCACATTATTTATCGCGCCAGCTAGATCCGGCGCCTGGGCTGTCAGGTTCGCAAGGGTATTTGCAAGTTGCTGTAGCGCGTTAGCAATGTTATTTTGGTTCTGCATCATAGAAGAGTTTTATGGTGGCAAGGACAGAGTGTAGAAATGAGACTTACAGTGAAAATTGGACGAAGGTCGACCAGATGTGTCGTGAAACATCGAAAGGGCTGGCTATGCTGAACTAGAATTCTACAAGTACGTGGAATTGCAACTTCCATAAAAAGCGGCACGATCTACCGTACAATGACACTGACTGCATTAATACCATACCATACCATATTGCCATTCCCTTCCATAGGAACTTTCGCCGAGGGCCCTCGATGATGTCTTCCATCTAAAATTACTCGCTTGACTGCCTCAGCATATTTCTCGTTCAGTTGGTCAACTGAGTCTACTCGGTGGATAACTGCAACATTGAGCAGATTCGACCGTCGGACATGTCCATCATACACATCAACACCATCATCAACATCAAAAATGTCAATAAATATAGAAATAATATAGTGATTTAGAATGCAAATTTACACAGAAGATGCATATCCTTGATTACACCAACACTTCTCTCTGCTACTAAGGGTACATAACTCTCAAGTACTCAAAATGCCTTCTCCACATCCTTGCTCAGTTCATGTTCTTTTGCCTCCATGTTCTTTTGCCTCCATATGCACGTGTAAGTATACACATGACAGAAAGCAAATTAAGCTCAAATTTCTTCTACATGTCTACTCTACCTTGTCTCAATGCACAAAGATCTGCATAAAAAATTTGTATTATATTCTACCAAACCTAGTCTGTTTAGAATGAAAATACCTGAGAGGATACTACCTTTGTTATCACTTGTTAATATACTTGATGTAAAAAACATGTTTGGCTACTTGATAACTATTCAGTATTCCGGCCAGCACGACCCGTTCAAAATCAATTTCGTGCGAAAACACTGCCCAGTGTACAATTCAAAAACAATGCCCACAGCTGAGCATTGCTTTCCATTCCTTGCTGTTTGTCTGTCGGGAGCTTCTAGCTGATAGCTTATTGCAGCAAGGATCCATGACTGACACCAATTCTTTCAAATTGATTCTTGCATCAATCAAACGTTTTGATATCTCGGATTGTTTATCATACGACAGAACTGCTCGCATCTTCTCTGGTGGCAGCTACGGCGACATTCGTATTAGGTTATATGACCATCCTGATCATGGAAAGATAAACGTGGAAATTGGACGAGGGCCGACCAGTTGTGTCCGGGTGAAACATTGAAAGGGCTGGCTGGACTGAACTAGAATTCTACAATCACGTGGAATTGCAACTCGGCACGATCTACTGTACAATGATACTGATGGCATTTAAAAAGACATTGCATCTATTGTGTTGTCAAGAGTTTGCTTCTGAACCTTTGCTTTGCAAGTGTATCTTCTCTTTAGGCTTCAGTACATAATAAGACCAGAAAAAAGTATTGCAGATATTAATCTTTTTTAAAATATACAAGTAGGTATATTCTATCCTTGTCTTCCATGACTAATATTACTAATTAAGTTGTCAGGTTTCTTCTACATGAAGCACAACAACAAGACCTGAATGCTTTTGACTGGACAGGCAACACTACTTCAGAACCATGCCTGGTTCCACAACCACTTCCTGCCAGTTCCTAACCTTCAACAGCAGCTGAAGCTACCTGTCAATATGTGCTTCCTATATACCAAGCATTACCCTTAATGAACATATAAAGCTATGCTTAATGTCAGGTTATACTGTATTTGAGAATGTGCATACAGTGTCAGACTAGAAGAAAATACTTTCAAATCCTACTACAATTACAAATCTTTAAGAGCAATTCTACTTTGGTAATTCAGAATGTGAGCTTATCAAGCTATGTAATAATTTAGATGGATTTACCTTCTAAATCCAAAATAACAGACTAATCTTATTGGTTTACAACTGCAGGTCCCATAAATTCAATATGAGAGCTGTATGTGCTGTTCATAGGTAGATTCACAAGCCTAGTCCCACACTGTAGACCATTGGATCGCTGTGTTCCGCCAGTCAACAGACTTCAATTGGAAATCATTGGCAAGGACTGGAGCACCCAGGGGCCAGAACTGGACATGGCGTCTTATGTAACCTTAAATCATCATGATCTGAGTCATCTGACAACTCATCACATCATCACTAGGAACACGTATGCATGTCACAGAAGTGCATAATAGTGTCTTACATATGCCTGTTCCATAACTGACAGCATTTTATACAGCGCACAGCCAGCTCCGGTGAATTAGTCTGTTATATCTTTGTTTAGTCTTGTCGGGATTTACTAAATATGTAGCCAAAGAGACAGATCAAACGTTCACAGCATGGCTGTGAACTAATTTTCCCAGGTTCCTGATCCCATATATTTGAAGCGATTCTTCTAGTTCTCTTTAGCGACACCTCCTTGCACGTACATGTACTATGAATGGTCGCGGGTACGACAGCGACAGTGAGGCGTCGGAGACCGATCAAAACCCTTTATACCATATTTCACCAGAGATCCTCAATCAACTTGCACATCTAAATCTTGCGGGTCGGCTCATTTCCAAAAGGAAGAAATCTGTGTCGACGGGTGCGTATGGAGATATCTCCAGAGGTCGATACGTTGTAGAAGGACGAGGTTCAGTTAGGGTTGCTATCAAATGTCTTCGATTCTATTTGAAAGATGACATCAGACTGGTGAGCCATTGATTGGATATCACGCGATCATTGTCGATCGATGACTTGTCCGTGCAGCTGTTTGAGAAGGAGATTTACGTCTGGTCAAAGCTGAAGCACAAGAACATTCTTTCTCTCCTTGGATATGATTTCGACGGGGGGACTGGGTATCCATTACTGATATCGGAATGGGTGGATAATGGATCGGCTTGGATATACGTTAGAACGCATCCCGAAGCCGACGTGGTGCGTTTGGTATGAATATTCTCCCGTTGCACGTAATGTTCGTACTGACAGACCGCAAGGTCTCTGGGATTGCCCAAGGTCTTGCGTATCTCCACGAGGAAGGCATTATCCATTCGGACATCAAATCTGTACGTATCGTGGAGTGTATTGGATGTTTTCTCGAATATCATTAACACTACGTTTGTTGGCAAGGATAACATTCTCGTCTCGAATGATGGTGAAGCTCTCATATGCGATTTTGGATGTTCTCGAATCTTGGCTGCAAGCCGGACTCTCGCCCAACTCACCTCTGACCTGAAAGGGACGTCGAGCTACCTTGCTTATGAGCTTGTGACTGAACGATCTATGGGACATACGAAGCAATCCGACGTGTGGGCGTTTGGGATGACTGTATTTGTGAGTATCGCCGCGCTGAAGAGAGAGAACAATTCTTATCAATAACACGATAGGAGCTATTGAGTCAAAAACGCCCGTTCGAAGGACTGTCGGATGTCCAGGCAATAGCAGCATTGCAAAACTATGATTTGCCTCCCTTTCCAGAGACATTTCCAAAGAGAATTTCTACCCAAGAGGCGGAGACTCTGAAAACTATCTGCTTATCCTCCTGGAACCAGAAGCCCTTAGAACGCCCATCAATGACAAACGTGGCGGCACGATTGGAGGTATTTTCAAGATCAAAGGATGTTCTACCCTCAAGTGATGCGTCTGCAAAAGGCTCATCAAGGCCTACCAAGGAATCAAATTGGCAGAATGTAGCCTCTGTCTCCGCCAGTAGTGCAGCCCCGCTTTGTGACGAAGACAGTTCACAAACTTCACATGTCGCTTCTCCTCTTCATTCATATACAGTTCCGACGTCTCAAGACTTGCGTCCCCTTTCATCTTCTTCAAATCGTACTGGTGGAAAGTTATTCGGGCCGCGGCAACCCAAGTCAAATCTTTCCGTCTCGACTTCGCCCTTAGATACTCATGCTATCATTGGGGATCCGTCTAGTGGCCAAAATACTCGAGGTAGAGGTATGTCTCTGAGCCCCGATAGTTTTCGTCGTACTCTCGTGGATAAAGTTGATGGTGCCTCCCAAGAAAGATCGGACACGCCAAAATCGTCTGCATCATTGACTCAAGGTTCTGACGAATTTGTCGAAGTTATTTCACCAAGCCGTCGTTCTGATGAAGATGATATCGAGAAGGTCTGTGAAATACCAGACATACGGTTATGACTTACTTGGATCGTTATGCATTTCCCAGATCATGGATCATGGATCTGCTATAGACTATATCGTTCGTAACGTGAGCGTAGTATATCAACGCATTCCTGGGTTGTTACTCAAATACACTATAGACAGATGCAGATGCTACTGTCATCCATGAGCCGGCTGTCCGTTCCTTCGCGGAGGTTAGCACAAGTATCTTCGTAGGTGTAATAACTTAATCCAGCTTCTATAGACGCAAGACGATGCAAAGCGACCAGAAGAGCTTCATTTCGCGGGGCTTGAAGTCAAGGTAGAATCCGATTCCCCGATACAAAGTATTGGTATGTTATTATGCTGTGATCGATTTCCGGATTGCTTGCGAGTATGAATGATAGTTGGAACAGTAGCGTTGCTGCCTTCTATATCCGATGTTGCAAGCGGCTCATCTACGGAAGCCGATGAACCACCTGTATTGTCATCGCCTATGATGCTTGGTGAGCATGGCCGCAGTGCTAGTGAGGATGATATCCCCGGACACCGAACTCTCAGACAAGGATCTGACGTCACAGTGCCCAAGTATACTGGTCGCAGGAACGGCAATGCATCTGGCGCGTCACCTTCTGCTACCACGGTCTGCATGGCTTGCTCTTTGCCAATGGAGGGTGCATTTGTAAGGGCTCTAGGAAATGTCTGGCATCTTCCGTGTTTTAGGTGCAGGGTACGTATCAAACTTTTCAGCGAAAACAATTTGCTGAACGGGTGGTCAGGACTGTGGTGCTGTGGTTGCGTCTAAGTTCTTTCCCACTGACGGTCCTGGTGGCAAACAGCAGCCGCTGTGCGAGCAGGATTATTTCCGTAGACTAAACTTGCTTTGTGCCAATTGTGGCCGGGCATTAAGAGGCAGTTATGTTACGGCTTGTAGTGAGCACCTCACACTTCATTCTTTCCACACTTCTCTCACATCGGCCGATGGATTTCAGACAAGAAGTACCATATCGAACATTTTACGTGTACAGTGTGCCCGGTACTATTCGGACCTCAAGACTCTTATTACGAGCACAAAAATGACGTTTACTGTCACTTTCACTATTCGACTCGGTTCGCAACCAAATGTGTTGGTTGCAACAGCGCTATTTTAAAGCAATTCGTGGAAATCAATCGTAATAATCGTGATGAATGCTGGCATCCGGAATGTTATATGATTGACAAGGTCAGACATCCTATGATGTAGATAGGACGGGCATTTTGACACATTCAAATTTTAGTTTTGGAAAGTCAAGATTAGACCGGCGAGTTCCAATACCTCCGCGATTGATGTGGGCGAGGAACCGTGGAAAGAGGAAGAGGAGAAAGAAACGGCGCAATCGCTTGGAAATAAACAGGTGCGGATGGAGCAGCATATATATCGTATTTGGACGTAAGATCCTGCTTTTCTGGCTATTGAAAATGGCTCAATCGTTTATAGTGTGCTGTCGGCGTTTGAGGAGGCGAGTGCAGCCTGCATTTCAGATACGTTGCGACATGTTAGCACTGGCCAGTACTTGAATGCTCTCCGTATGTCAGAAAAATTTATCTTGCGCGTCGAAGTCCTGTTTGCAACAATTGACGACATGGAGACATGTTTCTCTCGGCTAAATTTGAAAGGCATGCAAACTCCATTATGAGATTGCTATTCATGCTGACTTATATGTAGGCATGTCACATGTCCGCGAGGCACGTCTTCTATGTCGAAAGACTGTGGATCTTTTCACACTGCTCTCGAGACCCCAAGACAATCAAAGGCGGACTGGTATGACCGAGGAGCTGTTAGCTTCCGTGACAGGACTCGCTCATTACTTGAAGATCCTCATCCGGATAGCGCTCACGGGTAACCTCAAACTCGAGCGCGATCACTCAGCCCACGAGGCAATAGACAATTTCCTCGACAAATTGCGTCTTCTTGCTGTTCAGGGCGGTAGTCCAAGTGCCCGTCGGGCTGTACAAGACAGCGAAAAGCATACAGGCGCTTTCGGCGGAGCGGATAACACGCGGGGCGTGACGTATGGTTTCAAGAGTTTGGCTCCTGAGATTGCGGGCGAGTCACCATTGAGTTCCTTCAACGATGGCCCTGATTCGCGCGTTCCACTGGTGGAGCCCCTTTCCATCAAACAACCTTCAGATCTTTGCATAAAATGTGGAACCACAATCGAAGAGGAATGTGCACGGCTGGGTACGTATCATCGCTGGCACTCACATTGCTTACAATGCTCGGTGTGCGGGAAAGCATCTGCGTCTATTCCGAGGGAAACGTCGAACGACCCTAGCTCTGATGGCAAGGAAGCACTTCCTCTGAAGTTGACTACGATGCGTCTACCACCTGCAAACGTTGACATGTTTGTATATGAGACGCAGACGGCGAGATTTTCTCATTACGGGCCCGTCCCCACGGTAATATTTTGTCAGGACCATCAACGTGCAGGATCAGTCGGTGGATTTCAGGCCGTGACGAAGCTCGAACACTACGCATTTTTATTGAATGTCGCCTTACGTAGATTGTCCTATCTGCTAAAGCAGAGGGGAATACTAGTTCCTCCTGCACGTGAGTCGCACGAATTGTTTGGGGGGGAAAGATTTCCCGACTAAATGCTTTACTATCAGCCTCTATAACTCTGCAGCCCCCACCGTATGACAGCCTCGAGCAACAGACGTATCGGGACTTAGGCGATATTATTCGTATGGAACCAGTTCATCTCGATCGTAAACGATCGGCAACGCCTCGTCTACCAAAGCATTCAACAATCATAGAGTCGCAATCGGGACAAACAGCACAACCCACTGGTGTCGCCAATGTTACCACACAGGGGAATTTCACACCATCTGCGCAGGCGCAATCTGGGACGCCCTCAAGCTCTCAAACACGGCCAACGAAGTTGAAGCTCTTCGGTTTGAGTTCAGACCGATTATTCAGGTCTATGTTTGAGGGGCGGAAAAAGCCAGAACGCTCCTTTCATCCTGCTACTACCTCAGAGACACCAGATTCTTAGGTAGTGGGGAAGAAACTAAATAATTTCATCTCACGTTCCTGTACTTCTGGGGTTTTGCATATTTAATATGGGTCATTGCATGTCTATGTCTCCAGCTTTCAGTACCTGGTTCGTAATGGTAACTCAAACTACCCGGAAGTTGCTTCTCCTACCTCTAATTGACTCAATACTCTGTAACCCATCTATACTACTTATGTATCTTTACATGTCTATGTCTGGCTTTTAGCACCCAGTTTGTAATGACAACTCAAACCGCTAGTGAGCCCACAAGCAAAATAGTAAAATATATTTAAATATATGTTATGCCACTACCAAAGTTACAGAGTTACAGATATCAATCCTGAGACACAGAACAGATCAAATGAAATACGAGAAGGACAGCCAAACATAAAACGTTGTAAATACCCGAAAACAACCTCGGCCTCATTCTCTAACCTAACCATCAAGTGGTGGAAGGGTGATAAACTTGCGAAGGCGATCCTGAAGCGTATAGCGATTACCATCAATAGCTTGTCCATAAGCTTGTAAAATAGCACGATAGCTAGCCGCTTGAAAGAAAAAAAATCAGGGTCTCAATGCGAGACACACATACTGGGAAATACAATAGAATAACTCAACCGGTTAGCCTCCAGAATTGATGAGTATTTTGTGGGAAGTGTACGCCTTCAGGTAGTTCCAGCTGTTGCTGAAAGCCAGGAAGTGGTGGTGGAATTAGGTGTGGTTCTGAGTCGGCGTTGCCTCTCCAGTTGAATGCTCTCATGTTGTGTTGTCGTACTTCACGCTGAACAACCCTGACACGGACACCTAGTTAGTTAGTCATGGAAGACAGAAGGACAGAAGGACAGAATAAAAACCTACTCATATATGATATTTTCGGCTTGTGCAAACTCCACATAATTCGCCAAGTTCATCAGTGCACCTTGTACGTTGTTTATTGCGGCCGCCAGATCCGGCGCCTGGGCTGTCATGTAGGCTAGGCTAGACTGTTTGCAAGGTGACTGTAGTGCGTTGATGACGTTGCTCTGGCTCTGCATCATAAAAGGGCGAGGAAAGAGTGACAGATATGAGACTTACACTATTACACTGGAACTTCGACCAGTGTCGAGATTCGAGAAGCTTAGGGTGTGCTGGCTAGATGTCTCTGAGCCAGGCCAGACTAAAAATAGACTTCTTCAATCACGTGAAATTGCGATTCTATGTACTTAAGAAGGGGCAGGAATTCCGAATCCCCCCCTGGGATGTTGCTACTGGGCAGAGTTTTCGTTTTTTTAATGTACTTTACCCCTGTGTTGTAATTGTACCATAAGTTACAACCAGCAGCCCTGGACCCTGGTGTTTATTTTTAGAGATATATACCAGGAATTATGTCATACCATACCACAGAGTTGCTACAAGATGGCAAAGTCACTATCTAAGCAAACACTCATTACTATACTATTACCACCCATTAAGTATTAAATAACCATATCCAAAGTTTGCTATTACTGCAACTTACAAACCTTGCTTGCCAATTGGTTCGTGCCACTTCCTTTTGGCAAACATAAAACGTAAGACAGAAGAGGGAGTCCACCTCAAAAAAATGTTGATGGGTATGGACATGGAACATGGAGATATGGAAACATGGAGTCATAAAGTTACTGTAACTATAGATACGTACGTACGTACGTACTACTACTTACTTGTCATGGGATTGCTATGAGATTCATTGGGGGATAACAGGTAATAGGTGACAGGTAATAGGTATATGCAGTATATATATATATGTAATTTTGCGTGCATGCATGCGAAGCGTTGCTTTTCATAACGTGGAGTCATGGAATCATGTGGAGGGTGAGAAGTGCAGATGGGCGTGGTGTGGCGTAGTGATCATACAACAAGAAACAGAAAACACATGATCGAAAAAAAGAGAAAAAGAAAAGAAAACATAACAAAAACAGCACAAAACAAACAGAAAAGAAAAGAAAGAAAAGGAAAACCCCGCAACCCCTCTTATCGAATCAACCTCCCAAAATCCAACTTACTCCCCCCCTCCCTCCCCGCCCTCCTCCCCCTCTCAACCTCCTTCTTACTAGGAAACGCATTCCAAAACCTCAACGTCTCGTCCCCCGCACCTGTTACAATCGTCTCTCCATCGGGACTCATAGCCAAATAGAGTACGCGGTGTGTATGTCCGGTGAGGGAAGCGACCATATCTAAGGATGGGTATTTCCAGATACAAATTTGATTTTGCGCGGTTGAGGAGGAGAAACCGTGTGTGGAGACTAGTTCGTGGGATGTTAGGGACCAGGTGAGGTTGCAGACCTACAGAAAGTGTTAGTCTTAATTAGTTTTCATTATCGAATGGATTGAGCTGCTGTTTGAGCGAAGGGAAAGTGAAACGTACCTGACTCCCCGTATCCAAATAATTCAACATGCTCCCATTAAGCACGTTCCAAAAACGGATCGTCTTATCTTGCGTCCCACCGCCCGTTGCGAGTATACCAGGTACGTGAGGGTCCCACGCAAGGGCTTTCACAGCTGCTGTGTGTTCGTGGAACTTGTAGAGTGGTTGGTCTCCTGGTGGGTCTTCTGTTGTTGATGTTGATGTTGATGCTGAAGTTGAGGGGGCGGCAACAACACCAGGAGGGGCGATGTCCGAAGTGGTAGTGGTAAAGGTAGTGGAATTGGTAGTGATAGAAGGATTGGTAGCAGAAGTGGAAGTAGGAACTCCAACCACCGAAGCCCTCCTCGACCCCCTCAAATCCCAAATGCACACCTTATTATCATTCCCCCCACTCGCAAGCATCGCACTCTGCACCCCCCCTCCCTCCCCACTCCACTTCAACCCGCACACCTCCTGTCTATGTCCCGCGCATTTCCTAAACGGTCTTTGGTTTGCCTCGCGGACGTCTCGATGGTGGACTAATCGATCTCGAGAACCGGACGAGAGGACGTGTTGGTTCCATGCGAGTGCACCGACGCGTTGGGCGTGTGCTTGTGGGTAAGAACGGAGGAGTTGGAGGGTGTGTGCGTCGTAGATGTGTAACCGACCTGAGAGGGTGCCGATTGCTAGTGTTGTGCCCTATTTATTCGCGTATCAGCATTTTAATTCCATACAAAATGGGATGTGATTTACCTTCTGAACCCAAGACAACGAACTAATCGTATCCGTCTGGGACTGCAAGTCACACAACTTCGACACAACAGCCGTATGTGCAGTCCACAAATACACACACGAACCCAACCCAACACCAAGTATGTTCGTACTCGACCAGTCAACCAAATTCAGATAAAAGTCGTCCGCGAGATCGGGTGCATCTAAAACTCGATAGGGGGTCTTGCATACAGTTCGTAATTTTCGTTGTGGACTTTCAAGGAGGCGTCGAGATTCGGCGCGGACGGGACTGAGAGAGTAGACTTCGTCTGTTGGGGTGTCGAGTCGTCGGGTCGGTGTGGAGGGGTTTGAGGATCGGGAGGGAGAGGTGAAGTTGAAGAGACGTTTTCGGGAGGGTGTGGTAGGGAGTGCGGATGTGGATGCTGATGTAGATGCATTTGCGTTTGTTGTTCGTTCGGGTGAGGATTCTCGAACGTTAGGTGGTGTTACTTCGGTGTGTAGTATTGAGTTGAATAGTGTGTTTGCTTGTTCTGTTGAAAGGTCCAGAATCAGTATCGGAGAACGTTTGTATGGATTGGTAAAAATAAAGGAGCGGGCGTTGATGCTGCTCGGTCGTAACGAACAGGCACCGGAATCAAAGAAAGTTGCAAATGGTGTTGTGAATAGGCAAATCTGCAACCTTTGCTTGATACGGCGCCGTCGTTTACAACCAAGCCCTCGACGCAAATCATCGACACGGAAGCATATGCAACACGTCCTACATACCTCGGAGAGCATCTGATTCCGTAGGGATCATCCTATGCGTCCTAGAGGGTGTCTGCGGCCCACCATCGTCCATAAGATTATAACTCGTCCGAATATCTCCCTCGTCTCTTGACGGTACAAACCTACACGCGCCCCGTCGCATCAGTAAAATCAATCCGGGCAGAAATGCGACACGACGCACCTATCGTTATAATCCTTAGGCCTCAACTCCGGCGACGAAGGCCCAGCACTTTCATCCGTCGAGCGAGAGTCAAGGGAAGGCGTGGAGAGGTTCGACACGCCGAATATTGGGTTGACGCGTGGTTTGTTGCGTGCGGGAGCGTCACGGTCGTCGTCGATGTCAGTGTCCGGGTGGGGTGCGCGGAGGCGCTTGCCGAAGGGGGAGTTCTTCAGGCCGGACATATCTGCGTGCGTGCGTGTCGAGTGTAATAACTGGTGTGCTTGGACTTGAGGGGTGTTGTTGACGAATAGCGAAAGCAGACTGAGTAGAGAGAATACCGACGGCGAGTAACTAGGCGAGCATGGGTGGGGTACGTCAGCACGCGTGGGCCACAGCAGCGAGATGGCGGGGAGAGGCAAGAGCAGCGACGAAGAGCCGGTCGACGCGAGACTGAACGACGCGTGTTGTTGTTGTTGTTTGGTCTCCTTCCTTATTAGGCAGCCAGGCCTGCTCGGTCCGTCATCACTCGCAACTCGAGTGTCCTTGTGTCTGCTAGCATGAATGTGAGTAGCCAGTCGTTGAGGTCTTACTGGCACTGACACTGCGATGCAGAACCTGCTGCAGTCGCTGTCTTCACAGCGACTCCACGTCCGCGTCTCAGACGCAGAGCTTAAGCGCCTCCTCAGCGCTGTCAAGGATGGCCGGGTGCGTGACCACATTCACACTTACAAACCACACCCCTAACAATCCACAGGGACACGACGCGAAGCTCTCGGACCCCTTTTATGATTCTCTTGAAGGTGTACTTCAGGACCTCCGCACTGTCACAATCGTGTGTATCGTTCAGCTCAGCTCGGCGGCTCGGTCGCGTCTGTGGCGCGGCGCGTGAACCCGTGTTCTGACACTTTCTGTTTATGTTTATAGGACAACCGCGATGCTGAAGCGTTCCTCAAACCTGTTTCTAAGACTGACTACCCGGATTATTACGAAAGTGCGTAGCTCAACCATTCAAACAAATAAATTAAATTAACCGTTTGAATGAATTCGAAATAGTCATCAAAGAACCAATGGACCTCCAAACAATGCTCCGCAAAGTCAAACAAAAATCCTACAAATCAAAAGCAGAATTCCAAGATGACCTCGAACTTATCTGGTCGAACTGTTTCGTGTATAATACAGGTGATAATCACCCGCTGAGGATGTGTGCGAAGCGGTTACGAGAGAAGGCCATTAGGTTGTTGAAGAATGTTACGGATCGGAGGGATCGACTTGACCCGCCTATACCTGTACCTACACCGATACATGGACATGTACCTGGAGCCGTACAATCGAATGGGATTATGGTTAATGGGAATGGCGTTGGACATGGGCATGGGCATGGACATCATTCGCGCAAACACTCAGCTACGCCTGGACCCCTACCTTCTAAGGTCCCTACCGTGATCGTAAAGAAACCAGGTTCTACCTCTCGACCTATGTCTATCGCACCAGCCTCCCCACCACCTCCCCGACGAGAAGCAACGTTCGCAGACCAACCCGCCTTCGTACGAACTGCAATGGGGATGTCGAACTTTGCTTCGCTTGATCGTGAACTCTCCCTATCCGTCGACCTTAACCTTGATCTTGAAGCTGAGAACAAGAGCAACGTCGCAGGCCCATCCCGCCTTCCAACACCCATCACAGACAAACTCCGACAAATCATCCAAACAGACGACTCAGCGGACGACTATGACCTCGACTACGGGATGGAAATAATGAACGGAGAAGTAGGCGACAAACGTAAACTCGCAGTTAACGGGGATGTCCGACCTCGAAAACGTGCGCGCACACGGACGAGGTCTTCTGGTGGTACTACTGCCTCTTCTTCTTTCAACGTTCATGGTGATGGTATGGGTATGGGTGTGGATGGTATGGATGGTATGGGTGTAGATGGTGTGGACCCTGTTGAGTTATGGTGGGAAGCGACGACGAGTAACCAGCTTATGGCGAATGCTTTGCCTTCTATTCCTTATCCCGCTTCCTCTTCTTCTTCCTCTTATCCCTCTACTTCTTCAACTACTTTAGACTCAACACTCCCTCGAACAACACAACCGCAACTACGAATACGAAAGAAAAAAAAGAAGCGTCGTCCCCCTCTCCACCCTCTCTCCTCACAAACTCCACCGAAATCCCTCCTCGGACTTATCAATAACAACATACGAAGCCTGCGGCGCGTACGACAGATACATGATAAGTTCCTTGCGTTGAACGTTTTGGATGACGGGGGGAGTACGTCTGGGCCATTAGGTATGGGTGGGGAGCCGCCAGATTCGGGGTTTCGATCTGGACTTGGTGGTGGGAGTGGGAATGGGATGATGGACGACCCGGAGAAAGATGATGTGTTGGTGGATGACCGACCTTGGAGATTGAGGTTGAAGAGTTTGCAACGAGGATCGGATAGAGGAGTTAGAGGGTTCAGAGGAGCTGGAGAGGTAAGAGAGGAAGGAGGGGTTAGAGGACTGGATGTAGGTGAGGAAGCTGCGAGGAGTTGTTTGAGGTGGATGGGGAGGAAGGTGTTGGAGCATTCTGGGTTTCAAAGTGCGTTATCTTCTCCTGATTGTCTTTAACCTCACTAGACTGACTGTGAATTTGATTTGATTGGTTATTTATTTATTTGGTTTATTTTTGGATGGATGGCGCGTATAGGCACCTCGAAAGCCGCGCTGGACGTGTTCACAGGCGTAGCGAGCGAGTACTTGTTTAATGTTGGACGGACGTTACGGTATTTGTGTGATAAGTATTCGCAGCAGATGAGTGCGGAGGTGCGTAACCACTCTACCCATGCATACCAACTTCACCTTCTCATACACTTCCATTTGATTTGTAGGAAATCATACTACACACGCTCTTCGAAAGCGGGATCACGCACATCCGGGATTTGGAGCGGTATATTACGGATGATGTGGTGAGGTATGGAAGTCGGTTGTCGGATTTGGAGAAGAAGCTTGCGAATGCTTATAATGAGGTGGTGAGTATCCCTCTCCGCTCCCTCCTTGTTTTCTTTTGGGTGTGTTTGAGTGTTATGACTGACTTCGTTTGGTAGACCGTGGAGGCTGCGTTGGACGACGATGCGTTCTTTAATGAGGACGAGGATGAAGATAACGAGCTTGTTATGGGTAACTTTGCTGATGCGCTTGGTGTTGATTTCTTCGGTCTGGGCGAGCTGGGTATCGCAAGCGATCTTGGTCTGCAAAGCCTTACGATACCGAAGAAGCTGCTCAGAGGGAAGAATAAGCAGCGGAATGCTCAGAATGGGTACATTCTTCTCTCGTTACCTCTCAGGAATTGTTTGCTTATACCTCGCTTTTATTTCCTTTTTTTTACCTTGGGAACAGTGCGAAACCGAGTGAACCGCCTCCACCCTACCCTCCACCCCCATCTTTCGCCCCACTCACACCACACCACGTCGACAACCCAACAAAAGTCATCGGCCTCCTCCGACCTTTCTACGTCCAACGATTCAACGCCTACTCCACACGTACCAACCCCAGTGCACCCACACCATTCATCACACCTCCCCCAGCTCTGCCTAGTCAACTAGATCTCGAGCTAGCTCGAGAAATGGGTACAGAAGAACCGGCACCGAGGGTGTTGCCACCTGTGAGGAACATGGAAGTGGGAGTGGGAGTTGTGGTGTTACCGGATGATCAACCGCCTGTTGGGAGGACGAAGAGTGGGCCGTTGGGACAGGTTTTGAGGCCTGCTAGTGGGGCTGTGACGAAGAAGAAGGTGAAGAGTGGTGGAGGTGGAGGTGGAGGTGGAGGTGGGGGAGGAGGAATTGGAGGAGGAGGGATGAGTGTACATGGGCCTGCTGGGCCGGGTGCTGGGATCCCGCCGCCGCCTCCGATAAGTCAGAATCCGAGTGGGAATGGGGGAGGAAGTCCGAGGAAGGTTGGGTTGTAGGACTCGTTGTTTGGTGCGCGTAGGCGTGATTGTGTCTTGTCCCTCAGTCTTCGAGTGGTTTTTATCGTTTTCATGGTTCGTTGTGGAATTCGGATTTGTTTTGTTTTTATTTCGTTGAGGATTGAGGATTGAGGACTGAGGATGTACGTGTAATTAATTCTATTCGTAATTATACGCTTTCTTTTGTTGTGTTACAATGATGTGATTTTGTCCTCTTTTTATCTTTTATGATGGCTTTGGCTTTCTTTGGTGCTTTGGGTCATACATATTGTTTCTTTTTTATTGTTTGGTTTCCTTTTTCTTTCACTTTCTTTGTGTTGTCGTGTTGTCGTGCTTTGCTGTTGAGCTGTTACTTGACATTCTTTTGTTACTGTCGTGTCAATGTCCTTTGGAGCTGTCTTGCGTTCAATTGTCCTGTCCTCTTTATATGGTAGGTTGCAAACACTGTGATAGATCAATCAGCAAGAAATGAAACGAAATACTAAAGAAGTCTATCTGATTGTAGATTGGTCTTCAGATGTAGTGATAGACTTGTTGCTACAAATACTTCATTACTTATTAATATTATTGGATAATGTGATTCATAATTTGATAGACAACTTGAATTCATAGTACACAATACAATATCCAATTCATTATAGTACATACAATTTCAGAATCAAAATAACTGAGTACACATTCAAAGGTGCTACATCACATAGATGACTAGGCAGATTGGTTTGCTTGGATACATGTGGAAGAATTTATCATAGATCCTGAAAATCATTTTCTAGCTATGAGTTCAGTATGCTTTTCTGGGAATATGCTCTTCATTACTTGCTTAGCAGCCATTTTAATAGACTGCTGCTTTGTATTACCTGAGCCAGAACCAACAGGTGTGCCTTTATCTATATTGAGTATTTAGTTTAAAGTAAACAGGATCATAATGATTTCCAATTTACTTACATGTGAATATTGTAGTCTAGGTACAATCAAATGAAGGGCCTTCCTGTTTAAAGTCAATATCAAATTGATCTCAAGTGCCCATAGCTTGCAAAAGATTATTAAGTTCTATTTGCCATTCCACAAGAGATCTACTAGGCAGATCTACTATCTAGTTAGTCATGCCTCTTAAGGAATAGTTGGGAGCAAAATTACTAGAATAGTTGTTTAAAGATATTGTCAGATTTTCAAGTACAGTTGTACTACCAATCTCCATCCTACCCAAAATTAAATCCCAGCCCTATTAATTATAAAGCAAGTATTTTACAATAGTAGTAATACTGTTCAAGAAAGTATTACTTAAGAGGGACTGAATGTTAGGAATTGTAAAATATAGTAACTAAGTTTGGAAAAGCTTAACTCAAGACTTAGGACCAAGTAGTTTATATACAAAACTCTATTAGTCACAAGTCTAGAGATTAGCTAGATCAACTAGACTACCTTTGTTGTCCTACTTAGTAAGAACTCTAGCTCAGCATTATTAACCTCTAATCATTACTAATGGGTGATCAATCTATTAGTAGAGAGAGGGAACAGGAAGGAGTAAGTACTAAGTCAGTTAGGAAAAGGTAACAAAACCTGAGAACAAGGTCTTTATCTCTCTAAGGTTAAACACATACTCTAGCATAGTATTACTTAATAACCTCAACTAAAGACAAGTCATTTAGAATGCTTGTATAGAGAGAGGATCTAGAAAGAGTATAGTGTCTAGAGTAAGAAGTATAAAGGAAAAGACTAGGAGAAAACCTAAAGAAATAAAAGGAAAATATTATACTTACTTAGGGAGAAACTACATAGCTAGCTAGGAACACTTTGTACAAAGACAAAGGACTATTAAAGCTAGGAAAGAGTCAGAGCTAATACTCTAAAGCTCTATACTTGAGGAGGACTAGTACTAGTGAAGGAAAGGGAACTGAGAGCTCTAAAGAGAGACTATAGGAAAGTAGTCTCCTTTATACACTTTACCCATATAAATGGGAAAGTAATGAAGTTATAAACATGAGGACTATATAAAGACAACATAAGGAATACATGAGACAATCTAGAACTTTAGTTGTAAGTTCTATGATTGAATACAGAAGTATAAAGATAAGGCTAGAAGTTAATAAGGATAATTGTCTCCTAAACTAAGTCTATTGAAGAAGACTTAGGGAAAGATCTAGAACATTGGTTGTCAGTTCTAGAGTGTATACAAGACAGTCTAGAACTTTAGTTGTAAGTTCTAGGGGTAGTACAGAAGCACAGCCTTTTATATTATAAGAGTCATAAGGAGTTATTAGAAGTCATAATACTCTACCTTATAAGAAAGTATATTACAAACTAGTGTACAGAAAGTACAGGTTGAGTCAGACAGAGTTATAGGAATAATAGAGAGCTCTACTTTATGGGAAAAGTATTACACAGCTTATACAGTATAACTAGTTAGAAGGACTCATAAGGAGTCATTAGAAGTATGAGAGGAAGTATAGAAAACATAACAATACAGTAAAGGAGTCATTAGAAGATTAATCTAGAATACAAGAAGACACAAACTAGTGTTAGTAGATTAATAGAAGACACAAACCAGTGTAGCATACAGTCTAAAGGATTAGCCAGCTCTACTTCATGGGAACAATAGTGAAGAGAGTTACTAAAGTTACTAGAGTAACATTACTCTAGCAAAAGGTATATAAGGAGGCCAGTTTGGCCCTCAAAAGATAGTTTTATCAACTTAAGTTACCTAGTACTTGGAAGTACTCTACTACCAACCTACTAGGCTACACTTGTAGCTTGACTAAAGTAGGACTCCTCTACCCTCTCACTCTACAAGTTTACAAGTCTTACTCTCTATACTCTATTCTGTTACTATTCCTAAGGATTAGGACTAGTAAAGTGAGTATATCTTACATAATCACTTCTCAACATATAGGATCATATACAATACTGGTCATTATCTATTTTCTGCATTTGTACTACTGTTGCCTCTATCATTACAGAACAAGTAAGTATTGTATCCTTCCCCCCTTACTGTTTCCTTTGTTTTGTATGTCCTGTACTAGTATCTTTTCCTTTAGATAATTTCCCTGTTTATAGTCTGCCTCTTTTTGTATTCTATATTAAAGTGAATATAAATGCCTTTTCCTTTCATTTTAGCTAATTTTTATAGCCTACTTTCATGGCTGAAAAGTAAGAGCCACACTTGTAAGTATAGTTTTCCTTTTAACAGTTATAACTAGTTAACTTATTAAAAGGGCTTCTACCTTTACCTTAGTTGTTATAATTCTACTTTCAGTGTTAGTCTGTAATATAAACTAATGTGTCCTCTGCCTCCTAGTTCTTTACTAGCTAACTCTAGTTTGACTAGTATTCAGACTTCCTGACTAAAATAGTACACCCTAAAGACTAAATTTAACTAGTGGGAAGTCATTCCCTCTTGTTTATGGTTTCCAGTTTAGTTACCCTCTTTAGTTTTACTTCTATTCAGAAGGTGTGTTTGGAACACCTTATTATATGTTCTTATGAGTGTAGAGGAGACATATAATATACTAATACCCTTTTTATCCTTGTATTAGGAGTAATTTTCTGATTTACTCAAATCATGTTGTTATAACAATCTAGTACTTCAGATTTGTTATAAGAATAGTTTAATGTCTTGTTCAGGACATAACTTACTCAGTTAAGAGCTACCATACTACAATTTTCCCTATTGTAGGAATAGTTTAATGTCTTATTCAGGACTTAACTCACTCAATTAAGAGCTACCTTACTATAATATTCTTGTACTTTAGAATTCTTATAGAAATAGTTTACTGTCTTATTCAGGACCTACATACTATAATATTCTCATTATTTAAGATCTATTATAGGAATAGTTTAATGTCATATTTAGAACCTAACTTACTCAATTAAGAGCTATCTTACTATAATATTCTTGTACTTTAGAATTCTTATAGGAATAGTTTACTGTCTTATTCAGAACCTACATACTATAATATTCTTATTGTTCAAGATCTATTATAGGAATAGTTTAATGTCATATTTAGAACTCTATACTATAATATTCTTGTCCTTTAGAATTTTGTAGGAATAGTTTAGTGTCATATTCAGGACAGCTTTCTATTATACCTTTACTGTATCCAGAGTCTATTGTCTCCTCCTATAGGAGTGACTCCCTTTTTGATAGTTTCCCTCAAGAAGTTTTTGTCTTCCTTACTTTTTGCTTTTAAAAAGTAACCACTCATAATTATTTCCTATGTTCTTCTGACTTATAGTTTGTTGACTACTTCTGTTTCTTCATACTAGACTATGTATTTCTGTCTTATTTGTTTAATAAGAGCTCTTAGTATTCTATCTAGATTTATAATATTGTTTATATCTTCTTAAGTGAACTGTAGTTGTATTTCTTGTTGTCTTTCAAGTTGTTGTATAATAGAATCTCCTTGTATAGTATTGTGTTCCTTCATTTTACTATACTCTTCCTCACAATTAGTGTGTTCCTCTTCTAATTGTAGTATTTTTATATAGTATGTATTATAGTCTTCTTCAGATTCATCTGTATCCCTAGTATTGTTTCTCCTTTTCTGAGGTTACTATCTCTTGTAATTACTAGTTTGTCTCCTTTTGTTATTCAGAGGTTAGTTTTCTGTAGTAGGTTTATTGTTCAGCTAAAGTTTTTCTAACCCTTCTCTAATTTCTTTTGTACTTGAATCTGAAGCTAGAATACTAAAGTATTCTGAAGACTCTGATTTCCTTTTTATCTAGTCTTTCTACATTTGTTCTTCTTGTAGAACTATGTCTCCTGTGTTCTGTTCTTTAACTAGTATTCTTTTACTTATTAGTAAACTATACTCTAGTCTCTTTGTTAACTAGTTTTCTAAGTGTAGTAGCTTTACTACTGTTAGATGATTTATGTGAAATTCCCTGATTAACTTTGCTGAATTAGTTAATCCTTTTCTAAATGGTTCCCAAGTATTGTCTATGTCTAGATAGTCTAACCATTTGATCAAATATTAATATTTGTTCCTCCTCTTCCTACTATCTAAAATGTTTTCTACTGTGTATTCCTATTCCTTGTTAATTAACTCTAGGTCTAGATTAGTATACACTTGTCTTCCTGAGTATTCCTTTTCTTTATAAGGTATTAATAATCCTGAGTAGAAAACTGGATGAATATTCATCCCTTCTAGTAGTTTTAACTTGTAATTTACTACCCCCATTTGTTTTTCTATTTCAAATAGTCCTATATACCTGTTTGCCAACTTTCTAGTTAGTACTACTAGATTTAAGTTTTTACTATCTAGTAAAACAAAATCCCCTTCCTTTAATTCTGGAAGATTTCCTCTATGTTTGTTAGTATATTTTTTCATTTGTTCCTGTGATTTTTTT